TGATTTTGTTATGTTGTTTGTTGATTTAAAAAATTGTTTGGTTTTTTTGTGCATTTGTTTGTTATTTTTATCATGCAAGACTTAAGAAAAGAACATAGGTTCCACGTGTGGAAGTTCACCAAGCCAAATCATGGTCCCATGTAAATCCATGGCAAAACTCCCACTGACTTCATAGGAACCAGGTCAGGATTTGGCATGCTTTGTCCTTTTTGGGTAGCTGAAGTTTTATTTGTATCTTAGCCCTGGGCAGCATGAAGGAGAAACTTTTTTAATGAGCAATTATGGTATGTATAGGGCTATGGAGAAAATAAATGGTTTGGTGACTCTACAATCTTTTTTTTTTTTTTGGTAGTTCAGGTTTCAGAAAACTGAAAAATATAAAATCAAGAGCAAAACTATGCCAGGGTGGTTTGCCTTTTATTTATTTATTACACCCCTGCTCCCCTTTAATTTTTTTGTGCTAGCTATAGCAACAAACCTAGGCTAAAGTTCATCAAAGGATTAACAGGCTTTGATTATCTTCAGGCCTAGGGATAGAAATTACACATAAACTGGTATGAGTGGTGGGAAACAAGTTCAAATCTGTAACACGACAAGGCTAGGGACAGACGTTCAAAAAGCCAGAGCCTGAACTGATTCAATCTTTGCAGGTTAGTCTAACCTGCCTAGGTTGAACCAGTATGTAACTGTACAGACATTCCTTTTGCACTGAGGAAATGCAGGTGAAATAAGCTTCCTCCTGGCCACCTCCCCCCAGTGTCCCCTCCCTCCAGCATCTGGTGTCCTCTCCCTCCTGACACTTGTCCCGGACACACAGTGAGTGGCGGTGGTGGTGGTCGGGGTGGACAGATCCTGCTGTGATCCCCTGGGGGGAGAGGGGGGCATAACCCTACTCCCTGCCCCCAACCTAAAGGGCCCTGCCAGCCTCCTGGAGCAGCAAGGGGGGAGCAACTATGATGGTAGCAGCAGCCCCTGTCACAGTTTCTCAGAGTGAGAGCCTCTTCTGGTGGGGGGGGCACGCTGCAGGGTGGGGAAACATGCTGCGGACAATGACAGTTGTGTCACTTGGGGGCAGGGGAGCCTCTGGCTCCCTCTGAGCCCCAGGGCTGTCACACAGTGTTCACAGCAGCTCTTCCTGCTCCGCAGAGCAGTGCTCCCACCAGGAAGAGGCTTGCATTCCCCAACACTGTGACAGGGGCTCCTGCCCCTATCAAGGACCCTGCCTCCTCGCTGTGGCAGAGGTATGGTTAGATGCCAGCTGGTAGGTCCCCTTATGCAGGGGCAGGGAAGGGGGGTTATTTCTCCTCCCTCCCGCATCCAGCGGAGGAGCCAAGAGGGGGCTTATTCTGCTGCTTCCCCCAAGCAGGGAGAGCAGCATTGGCGGTGGTCAGGGCAGGCAGACCCAGCTGTGGTCCCCAGGAGGGCAGTGGGATAGAGGGGAGAATAACCCCCCTCACTGCCCCCTCTGCCTCAGAGGTCATGCTGGCCAGCATCTGGCCATGCCTGGCCCTGCCACTGCAGCAGTGAGCGGGGAGTGCCCGGTAAACTCAACTTGGGTCTCTGCAGGTAGGACATGAAAGGGAGAGTTAAACCCCTCTCTGGCCAGTCCAGCCCACTGCTGGAGCAGCCAGCACAGAGGAGTGCAGGTCCCATGCTAGTGGGACAGGGGAAGAAGTGGGGGAATAAACTTCTTCCCTGCTCCCTTCCAGGGCCAGTGTCTGGCCAGATCCCTGCCCCTGCCTGTCCCTGCCCTGGCTGGGGAACAGAGGGGTAGGGCCAGCCCTGCTCTGCTGGAGCAGAGAGCCCAGCCCAGAAAGCATGCCGGGATGCTGGGGGACTCTGGTTTAACTTACACCAGGAAGGGGTCTGGGATAGACATTGCATAAACCAGTTCGAAAGCAATGAGTTAAGTCTGATACTATGCTCAACCAGGTTTATCTCAAACTGGTTTTGACCATTTTGAAACTGGTTTATGTGCACTGAATGTCTGTTCTGGTGCATGTTTAAACCAGTTTCTGAACACTTAAACTGGTCTATGTGTAATGTCTGTCCCTAGCCCAGAAGTTCAGTGCACAAACTGAATTCAAAATAGCCAAAACAGATTTAAGATAAAGCTGAATGAATGGAGCATCAGACTTAACTGATTTAGGTTAAATCAGTTTATTGAACTTCTGTCCCTGGCCCCCTCCAGATTCAAGTTAACTCACAGTTCCCCAGCATCCCAGGATGCTTTGCAGCTCCCTCACAAGGCCCTCTTCTCAGGGTGGGTGAGCTAGCCTTGGCCCAAGCTGTCTGCTGCAGCCAAGCAGGGAGAAGTGCTCTAGCATCCCCAGGCTTCTGGCCTGGGACACTGCAGGCATGTGGATGTATTTCCAGAATCAGAAGTGAATGTCTGTTCACTTACTTATCTGTTCAATCTACAGCATAGACTAACCTGCAAAGATTGAATCAATTTAGCCTGTCCTTAGCTGTGGTGATCTTCACACAGAGTCTGAGTGAATTCCCATACCTTTTATATCTATATAAGTATACATGTAAAATTCTTTTCTTTGTGAGGACTTTTTATGGCTGCATTTTGCATTTCTCTTGACTACAACCTACAACTTGTATTTTATTTTTTATGAAACACTCAATGTTTCTAATATTCAAGTCATTACATATATATTACATATACTTATGAAGTGACGATTGTGGTTATCTTTTATTGCTGAGTCTTTTTTCCCTCTCCCATTCTTCATGTCCTGCTCTCTAATCAGAAGAAACCAAGCCCTTCCAGTGACAAACACATTACCAGACAGTCCTCCTCCCAGATTTTGGAAGCTCATTGTATTCTTTAGCACTGGATTTCCACTTAGCAACATGCTGAGTAGCTTGCTGTGCCAACATACCAGTTCAGAACTTTTGTCAACAAATCAAAAAAGAGAGAACATTTTATACATGTTCCTTGGTGTCTGTGCCTAACCCTAAATAAATTAATTATGTTCTTATATGATCTTTTAGACAACATTAACATTTCATATACAGCAATACTAAGATACAAAGCATTGTGAACAGATCCCTTCTGAAATATATCAGACATGTATGGCAATGACCCAAACCCCTATGTGCTGTTTTCATTTAGTTTGCTGTCCCACTGGGACATTTGATAACTTTCCCATTTGAGGAATACTCTCTTTGGACATTTTGCATATGATCTGCTTCAACAGACTATTACTAGTCTGGTGGAATTTTTTACTATTGCCTGTTAGCTAGATATTGAAGGTAAGAATAAATGGGCCAAAACCCATTAACTTTTAGATATTGAACAGTTAATTAGTACTTATGATGTTGCTTATCACTACCATAATTACTGAAATGCAAGATGAGTGTTTTTCCACCATTTGGGGAAAAAAGCTTTTCATTTTGTATCCATATACAAGGAAACATCATTAAATACATCATGAAGTTGATTATATGCAGCCAATACTACACATGAGTATAAAAGACATGGCTCATATTGGGCAAACATACTGACAGGAACCTACCAAAAGGGTAGATTAGTGCAGCCCATCTGAATAAGATGTAGTACCCATTTTGCTTAGTCCCCTCAGTGCCAACTCTTTTCCAAATCGTGGTGAGCCACCACATTGAATATATTTTGATCTCCTCTTCACTCCAACAGCTGAGCTGTGCCTTTTTTCCAATGGTTTTTGTTTCTTCACTAGCCTTAAAAATCTGGCAAATATCACCAAATGGGGCCCCAAACAGGACTCAGAATCCCTTTGTTACTCCCTCTTTCAGCCTGTTGCATGATTATAGTTTCATAGTTTCTAGGGTCGGAAGGGACCTGAGTAGATCATCTAGTCCGACCCCCTGCCATGGCAGGAAAGAGTACTGGGGTCAAACGACCCCAGCAAGGTGTACATCTAAGTACATTAGTATGGTCCTGTCCTCCATGAGGTGGAGCTGGAACAGGTTGCCCCGTGCCTCATCTGCATATAATTTTTTGTAGGATCCTGGGACTTGTGACAAGAATACCAAGTTCTAGTCATGAGTGGGGGGTATCTGGAATACACATACATACTAAGCAGTGCTGAACTGTTGGGTCACCATGGCTTGAAATGCTGTTGACTCTGGTGGTACCCAGCCCAATAATTTATGTGGTAACTCATGAACCTTTTGGTTTTGGACTAATATTGTACATGGTTTGTACTATATATACATATAGAAGTGTTGTTTAAAAGTGTGTTTATGGAGATGTAATTTCAAAACTTACCTGCAGTTTCAAAAAAGGTAAAATGCATCAATTGTGGATGAACTAAATCTATGGGTACCTGTAATAATTTGCTTATATGCAAATGACTACAAATATGTTTATTTCAAGGTCCATTTTTTCAGATGTGCCTTTTACTTCCATGTAAATAGAGAGAGCGGGGTCTGACAGTAAGGAGGAAAGGAAGGAGTTGCAGTTGGGAAAGTGAGGGAGCGGGGCAGAGGGCGAGGAAGCTACCCAACTCCCCAGATTTATTTTTCATGCTTTAGCAGTGGTAGGGGGAAAGTTCAAGGAAAACCTCCAATAATTAGATTGAATGCCTAGAAAATTATAACAAATGTATAAATTTTCCTTATATAGAATCTAATTATTGGGGGGGTCATCTTATATTCGAGTAAATGTGGTATTGTGGTAAAGTTCTCTGTCAGCATTATGGGACAGTTCTCTGTCTTCTTACGTTAAAATAATATTGTACAGATTATTTCTTCACCATAAAAAGGATACAGTCTATTTTCTGAACAGCCAGATATCTAAAAGTCCATACCTGGAGCCCAAAATCAATAAGTAGCCATGTTGGTTATGATCATAAGAAGGCTTACAGCAGCAGCTTTAAGTTTTATTCATTGGTTCTTAGTTCCTTCCTCACCCCATAAAATCAGAAATATATAATTTATTATTCCATGACGAGAAAATCTCATCAATGCCTACTTCTTATTCAGTGTCTGATATACACTGTTTCCTCCTACAGATGTTAATGAATGTACCATTGAAAATGGAGGCTGCTATGACCAATGCTGCAATACTATTGGCAGCTATTACTGCAAATGTCCAGCTGGCCAGAAACTGGGGAAAGATGGAAAATCATGTGAAGGTAAAATTTCATACTGTGTCTCTTTGCTGATAGGACATCTGAAAACATCCTTGGATGGAAAATGAAAATTATTACCTTTTATCTAGAGCCAGTTGAAGTTCATATATATTCAGAGTTGTCAAGAGTTATGGATCTTCTCATGTCTGGATTATGAAGATGCAACTCTAAGAACACTTCAAAGGATTTTTTTGGAAAAAGTGTATCATTTGAGCCTGGGATTGGCTGTGCCATGTTCTGATTATGGAATTTCTCTCATCAGTTTGAAGAAAGTGCACATGTTCTGAAAGCATTTAATCTGTCTCTAAAACAAAATGACTCTTATCAGAAGATACACATATGTTTCTGCTCTTTAGTTGCATTTCTGCAGCTAGAGATTAACCGAATAAGAGAGGATTTGAAATCACATGCTACATAAACCCATTTGCCTTCTTCCCAAGGGAAATATGAGGCCAGATTCCATGGTATGTCCATTCTTATGCAAAAAAGCCATCTTCAAAATAGGGTTAATGTGTGGCAAAAGCTAATGTTAGCCCTCTCTGCATATGTGAATTATTGTCTGTTTTGCAGAACTCCAGTAACATAAAGTAACTGTAAACCTGGCCTTACTGGCCAGGCAATTCAGGTTTGTTTTTCATCATCTGAGTGGTGCAGAGCAGCCAGAGTATATCAGAGCCCATAAAACTTTTCACTAGAAAATTTTCTTTGCCCAGAATTCTTCTTTTTCAGGCTCCTTTCCTACATACATGCACACATCACGTGCATACATGTACTTTGCTCTATTTTATACTGGGCATGAGCTGTGTGCATCGCTGCCACCCTCCATTTCATGTGACCATATTTCATTGCTGCTTTAAAAATATAGTTGAAGTTCTTTGAATCCTTCAGGATGAAAGGTGTTATATACACATAAATTCTTGTAAAACATGTTATCTTTTCACAGTAAGAAACTATTTCTTATAAGGCTATTTTTTTCCATTGTACAGGATCTCATGAATCCCTCTCTTCTGGGATTTCATTTACTATTGTCCTTTGGCTCCTGATTTTTAGGCTAGATACATTGTAATGTACATCTCAGGTGTGATTATATTCTTTACCACAATCCTACAGTTTATTCACCAATAGTCTCTTCCAGACTGGAAGGATGTAGAATTAACTTCCACAGAAAGCTGTCAGCTGATACCTAGCTTGACAATGTAAATAAGAACTAGATGGATATTTTCTTTTGACTGAAATTTTTCATTAAGGACCTGTGTGATTCCCTTTGATGGATTTTTTTATAATCCAAGCACACAAAACAGAAATAGTGTGTATATTATCCAAAGATTCTTTCTGCCTTTCACCAACCTCCTGCTATTTCCTCTAGTGCTTATTTAATAATGCCATTGTGAACAAACTCATATGCATTTATAGTGATGAATACGTACTGTTTCAGATTTGCTTAAAAGTAGTTTAATATAATTTCTAGGTAACCATTCCTGTTTTGAAAGAGAGATTTACTCCTAAATTGTGTATAATATAGCAGTAAAGTTATTGTTAGAGTGATAATGAGCTACTCATATGTCCCATCTCATTCTAGAAAAGGCCATTTTGAAGTGAAAGTTGTTTGAGTCTTATGTCAGGCATCACACGATCAGGAATTACAGAAGAATGTTTTATGTACAGCTTAGTTCAACTTTTTTTAACTTCATCGAAATTCTTTTTAAGTGTACAGTTACCGGGTCTTGAGAAGTCATCAAAATTTTGCCTTTTGCCTGATGAATATTATCAGTCTTTGGGTTATCTGATATGTTAAACCCATGGAATAGAATGATTGTAGCTGTTATGATAATTACTTGCATCAGCTATCATGAACACATTGATGACAGCCAGCTTTAATGTTAAATCAGATTTAACAAGATTCATGCATGATCATTACACAGATGAGAGACTTCCAAGTGTCTCTCAAGGGTGTACAGATAGTGATGTTGATAGTTCAGGAGGGAGTACTCTGCCCTCCACGCTGGTACTTTATAAATGCCCCTCCCTGGGACATACTGCATTGCTTTGAGGTCTCGCTTGCAGGTCTCAGACTGAATTCTTTTTGCAATCACTTCATCACGAAAGTTACCCTGGCATTCTAGAAGAGTAAAGCTACAAGCCAACTTGGATAATTACATTCTCTCTGTCTATATTTTCCATATAGTCTCAAGAGTGTGTGATATTAGTGTTAAGCTATAGCATAACTTTGCCATGTTTTGTTAAACTCCTTCCATGTTCCAGTGACCAAATGGTTGAACTTCACTAATGAGTGAAATAATTGATGGCTATGCAGCTTTTAAAACGCTTTGAGATGTTTTAGGAAAAAAGTGAGGATATATATATGAGAAATATTACATCAGCATAATGGAACTAATGTAGACGTTATCTGTTTGGTGAGTAGACATTATAAGTTCATTATGAATACCTCTATACAGCTTCCCTCTTGACCCTGGGTCTGCCATAGAAAGCATCACCCTTGCCTGATGGGCAAACCAGAGACTAGGAACTAAGGAAAAGTAAATGGGAAGAGAGCAACCCTGAGCAGGACTTTAGCACAGCTAAGGGGTACATGCTCAGGGCCACTGAGCACAGGAACAGGAATAAGTGGATTGATCCAGGAGCAGGAAAGAGGCTGTATAGACATGGCATATTAGAACAGATTCTGACCTCGATTTATCAAAAACAGACTCATGTTCCCTTCCAACCAATGGAAGGTGTGTTGTGTGAAATAGGTGACAGTCCAAGACAGTATTTGATATCCATTCAACATTTAATGCTGAAGAAATGAAAGAGAAGTGGGACAACAATAATTTATTAGTCCAACAATATATGGAAGTTCGTTGACTGCAGTCATCTTTGAAAGCTGCCTAGATCAGTACCTTGTACACAAACCAGGTAACTGTTCAAACAAAATACTCAGTACTTCCTAGGACTCAAGTGGGACCAGTTATCTCAATGGCATGAAGAATGTACAGTGCCTTCCAGAATCTGGGCCTACAGTAATTCAAGCCATGTAACAGCAAAAGGAAGCCAATAAAGGCAGTATTAACTAAACCCTTATAACTTTTTATTGTGGTTCTGCTGTTCACTAAATGCTGCATGGGAAGCGAGGTGGATAGAACATTTAGTACCCCAAATTCTATAATCCTTAGCAATCAGGAAAGGTTGTTTTTTAGCCAGTTGTAGGGCATTTATGACAGGATAATAGAATCCATAATTCTGTACAGTACAGTGCCCTGTACTACCTTGCTACAGTGTTTACAGCTGGAAATAAATTGCAATATAGAAAAGTAACACGCAATTGAACAAAAATGCCAGAGGGGTGGGTTGATTATCCTTTCAAAACTAACTCTACATCTGTTGCATTATGACAGTTTAATCTCCCACATCCATGGACAGACAGGCTTTGTAGAACTCAGAATTTCATATCCAACATGCAAAGAACACTTTGTCTCAGATTTATGCACTCCACAGGTTTTGACATAAAAGTCAATTTTAACCCTAACTCTTTGCATCAAATCAGAGTCCTATGAAAACAATGGGAAACTCTTCTTTGCCTTTAATGGGAAAGGATTTGGATAGCTGTCACTGGTAATATGGATAGCTGTCACTGGGTTTTTTTCTCTGGAATAATTTCAAAGTCAGCAGTCACTTTGGAAAGGAATACAGCCCAGTAACTGGATCACATTTGGCTCCCCTTATATGAAATAGCACCGTACTCTGCAAAATAGACTTGTTAACCTCAGCTGATGAACTTGTAGAGTACCACTTAGTGGGTGTATCTATGTGTGTGTTTTACTGCAGAGTTGAGTAATTGGCACCACGGTAAAGTGTCACCGTCTACATGTGCACCCATATCATGGCATAGTAAACTGATTAACTCCACTGTGGGATAGCGCCGTCCAGGACAAGTACTATCCTATAATGCAGTTATTTAATGCACCACAACACACGTGTAGACAGTGACTGGGGCTGGCTGGGGCAAGAGGGTGCTACAGTGTGCGGGCTGCCTGCCTGCTAGCCCTACACTCTAGTACCCTCATACACCAGCCAGCCCCTAGGCAGAACATTGAGCTGGGGCGGAGCAGCCCTGGGCTGGCAGGCTGACCTCCCTCCCTCTGTCCCCGCAGCGCCCTGCCATCTGGGGCTGCTCTGCCTCAGCACAACATGCTGCAGTCCCAGGTGCATGTGTAAATGCACCTGGGAGCAATAAACCCTGGCACAAACTGCACCAGAGTTTATTTGGTCACATTAATAGCACATGTAGATGCACCCAGTATGTAGAGGAAAAATATAGCACTTCATGAAGTATAAATGCCATAATGTTTATTTACATAATTTCCCAGTATCTTAATTGGTGGCTTAGTGAATATGGGACTGAACGCGCACTTTAAAAAAAAAAAGCCAGGATCTATTCTGCTATTGATTTGGTGAGTACAACCTTGGAGTAAATAGTTTTGCCTCTATGTGCCTCAGTTCCTCCAAAGGGAAAAGCACATCATCACAGTTAAGTTAAATTCTTTTATAGTTATTATCTATTTCAATATAACATTGTATCACAGTCACTGTGCTAAATGCGCATCAGAGTAAGAGAAAATAGTCTTTTCTAAAATGTAAACAAATGTAAAGCATCCTAATATCAATGTAAACCAAATTCTGACATATGAAGCATGGTGACTGAGACCAAAAACTACAAAAGCATATGTTTACACATGAATAAGCTAATGAAGTTAGATAAAGAGGCCATGACCCTATGTTAACCCTCTTTGGTAGACTGTCATTTCTTATATATGTTGTCATGTTCTGAACTGAAACTAGAGACAAACGAAATCATATTATTGGTTGTTGACAAAAAGGAACTTTTGTTTTACTGATTAGAGTAATACTCCTATTTCTGTATAACCTGATCTCTGGACATCCCTGGGGAATTTTGTCAAACATCTGAGCATTGGCAGATTTCCTGACCTTTGTGAGATATGACC